AGAATAGAGATCCTAGTAGGATGTTTACTTTTATTTCTATTTCTTTTTTTTTTCTTTACTTTCTTTTTCTTACTTTCTTTTGCTCCCTCCCTCTTTCTCTCTTCCTATCCTTCTTCCTTCTTCCCTTCCCTTCCCTTTTCTTTCTCTCTCTCTCTCTCTTTCTAAACAAAGATGGGTTATGTATATCTCTATGACGGAAAGCAAGAATAGGTTTTATAATTTCTAAAGGGGAGTTGCTGTCATTAAAAACATGTAAATGCCTTTATTTTTCATGCCATATACATGGTATACAATTTAATAAATATAAAAGGCATCTAATGAAAAGAAAGTCTCCTTCATACTTCTGCCCCAGACATCCAGGTCCCTGGAGACAACATCTGGTACCAGTTTCTTAGGTATCTTCCTATATATATTCATGTGTGTGTGCATGTGTGTGCATGTGTGTACAAATACAAGGACCCCTGGTGGTGCTGTGGGTTAGGTATTGTGCTGCTAACTGCAAGGTTAGCAGTTCAAACTCACCAATCACTCTGAAGGAGGAAGATGAGGCTGTCTGTTCCTATAAAGATTTACAGCCTCTGAAACCAGCTTGAGGGCAAGTCTGAAACCAAGTTGATGGCAGTCGGTTTGGGTTTGATTTTAGGAGTTGATTAAGGATCCCTGGTGGGCTAAGCTAATCTCAGGGTGAGTGGGGCAAGGATTTAAAAAACAAAAACAAAAACACTGCCATTGAGTTGAGCCCAACTCAAAGCAATCTTGGTATAAGGTTCCTGTAACTGTAAATCTTTACGAGAGCAGAAGGCCTTATCTTTCTCCTGTGGAGCAGATGGTGAGTTTGAACTGCTGACCTTGAGGTTAGCAGTCCTCCAACTGAAAGCAATGCTGTTTCTTTTATTGTTTTACTTAACACATCTTGTTGATAGTTTCATATTATTAGTACTTGTAGAATCACACTTTTTAAAGACTCCATTATAACTGATTAATTTATAATAACCCACACTAAGAAATTCAACCATATTAGTTTAACTATTCCCAAAGATGGGCATTGAGGTGAATATTAAATAACTCTATAGTGAATATTCTTGTTCGTACTTTATAATTCACATGTGCAACTTTGTCTGTAAAATATTAGGTCAAAGAGTGCATTGGCCTTTGTCATTTTGATAAATACGATCAAACTACCTCCCACAGATGTTATACCAAATCCTTGCCAACACAACTGATTACCCAACATCATGACCGTGCCCATCTGATAGGGAAATTGGTATCTCTTTGAAGTCTTAGTTTGTATTTCTCTTACTGTGCGTGCAATTTGAATTTCTTTTCATATATTTGGGAGTATTTTAATGTCCTTGACTGAAGAGAGAAGGCCTATTCATTGTCTGACTTTCTATTGGATTGTTAGTATTTTGCTTATTCATTTGAACAAGTGATCATATATTAGGGAAATTCATTTTTGCTCTGTGATTTATAGAGTGAATGTTCCCTAAAGGAAAGCTTTTGGCTTTTATTTAGCATTGTGGGGACTTTTTGTTTTTTGTATTTGTGTCCTCAAATTTAACCCAATTTATTATTTCATTCATGCCTTCTGGGAATTGAATCATACTAAAATTAATGTTTGTTTTAAAGCAAGGTGCAAACTAGAGAGCAAAGGCATTGGATTGAAAATCAGATTTGAGTTTGTGGTCAGCAGACACTTTCTTTCTTTCAACCTCAGTTTTGGTGTTTATAAAATGAGGGGGTTGGGCTTTATTCATCCATCTGTCCATACATTCATTCATTCATTCATTCAGACAGTCAGTCATCCACACTGGGCTGAGCACTGGGAACAGAGGTAAATTGTGCAGTCCTTGTCCTTCCTCACCATTAGTGGGGAGACAGACATGTGACCCAACTGTGACATCTGCAGTGTTCTGGAGCTATGATGGGGAACCCCAGTGTGAGAGCCCTCAGGAGGTGAAACAATAGATTTCTAGGGAACAACTGGCTCGGTTGCTACCCACGAGGTTGGCGGTTTGAATCCACCAGTCACTCTGAAGAAGAAAGATGTGGCAGCCTGCTTCCATCAAGATTGGTGGTTTTGTGCTGTGGAGTTGGTTCCGACTCATAGAGACACTGCATAGGATTTCTGAGGCTATAAATCTCTATGGGGGCAGAAAGCCTCATCTTTCTCCTGTGGAACCACTGGTAGTTTCGAACCACTGACTGTGAGATTAGCAGCCCAACTCCTAACCACTACGCTATTGGAGCTCCCCTGGGGGAGTTTCTCCTCTGTCCTGTAGGGTTAATGTAAGTCAGAGCCCATTCAACAGCAATAGATCTGACTTTTTTGGTTTAGGGTCAAGCAGAGTTTTGATGGGTGTGCAGAAGCTGTTCAGGCAAAGTGTGTGGGTGGCTGGGTGGGGCTGGGTGGGTGGCCAAAGGGAAAGCATTCATTCAGGACATGTGAGCAGCCTGATCCTGACTGTGACCCTGAACCTAGCTAGCCACAGATGCTTCTAAGCAGGGCAATAAACTTGATCCAATTTGCTCTTTTGTTGAGAAGGTGGTAATTTTGTTCATAAAAATATTGTGAAATATTTGATGTAAAATAAGTTAAAGACCAAGAAGTGAGTACTTCTTTTGGATACACACTACTGCCTCATAACAACCGTGTAACACAGGAAAATAACTGCTCTATAGGGTTTACAAGGCTGTAAATCTATAGTGAAACAGACTGCTTCCCCTTTCTCCTGCGGAGTGGCTGATGGGTTTGAACTGTTAGTTAACAGTCTGAAACTTAACCCACTGCTCCACCAAGGTCCCTTCAGGTGACGCTGTTGTTCAGTTCAATCACCGTCTCAAAACATTTCGATACAAAGAAAAACACAATGTAGAATATATTGTCTTCAATTATGTTTTTTAGTAGTCTAAAATTCAGTGCAGTGCTTTGCCACTTAAAAAAAAAAAGTGTTGTGATAAAAAAAACCACTCCTTGCATACTATATAAATATTAAATTGAAGATTCAAAATTCTTTTTAGTAGGATATTTTCAACTTAATACTGTAAAATACATAAGGACAAACAATTTTTATGTAGGTGACATTTCACTACTAATTCTTGATGTTAAGTGCTGTCAAGATGGTTTTGACTCAGCAACCCTGTGTAAGGTTTCCAAGGAACCAATCACAGTTAGCAGTCCAGTGCTTATCCTATAGTGCCATCCTATAGCATCACATTGTTGTTGTTAAGTGTTGTGGAGTCAGTTCTGACTCATAGAAAGCCCACAGAAAGTTTCTGAAGAGAGACTGGTGAGTTTGAACTGCCGACCTTATAGTGCAAATCGACCTTTTAGTGCAGTGCTTATCCAACAGGGCTGCTTTGTCACGTAAACTTGATAAGAATTTATTCATGAAACGCAAAGTGTTCTATTCTACCTCATAGATCAATACGTAAAGGCAAAGCACAGTAAAATATTTAATATTCACTCCAGTTTTAAGCTGAAGAATTGCTATTAGTTGATAAGTTCTGCCAAGTCAGTTCCAACTCATAGTGACCCTGTATAGGTCTTCTGAGCAGTAAATCTTTATGGGAGCAGAAAGCCTCATCTTTCTCCAGTGAAGCGCCTGGTGGATTCAAACCGCTGACCTTGCAGTTAGTAGCCCAACACATAACCCACTATGCAACCAGGGCTCCTGTATGACCCGCTAGTGAGTATAAAAGTCCTGGTGTTGATGTGATTAAAGCGCTCAGCTACTAACCAAAAGGTCTCAGTTCAAATCTACCATCCTCTCTATAGGAGAAAGCTGAGGCAGTCAGCTTCTATGAAACCTATTGTTGCTGGTGTTGGTAAGTGCCATTGAGTCGGTTCTGACTCAAAGCAACCCTGTACAGGGTTTCCGGGCAGCAGCTGGTGGATTTAAACTGCTGTCCCCAAACATTGCCAAACCAGAATCCTCTGTAAAGATTATAGCCTTAGAAATCCTATGGGACAATATTGTGGGGTTTTTTTTTTTTCCCCTTCTTCTACATAATAGCTATTTCTTTTTTGGTTGGAAAAAAATTTCTTCTTTGAAAAAATATATTTTATTGTATTTTTGGTATAAATTTACACAACAAATGAGGTTCCCATGTGATAATTTTATATAAAGTATTCAGTGACGTCAGTTATATTTTCCACAATGCATCAGCACCCTTTTTAAGGCCTTCCTGGTTGGTCCTTTCCTCTGAGTTAGTTTCCCTGTCCCCTTATCTTCTCAGCTTTGCTTTAGAGTGATTGTTAACTGCTTGGACTCTTAGTGTTAAGTGCCATCAAGTCAGTTCTGACTCATAGTGACCCTGGATAGGGTTTCTGAAAAACAACTGGTGTGTTTGAACTGGCGACCTTGTGACTTGCAGCCCAGAGATGATCCTACAGCGCCACACCAGGAGTCCGGTCTCATATAGATGATTGTTTTTTGTTAGAGGTGTTCCGGTTTGTAACAGAGCACTGTATTCATGGATAGGACACTTTATTTTGTGTGCTAGTCTGCTATTTTGTTAAAAGATTACCTCTGGGAATAGTTTAAATTCAAGGTGTAAACTATATCTCAGGACTACAATTTTGAGAAGTCTCCTAGTTTCAACGGGTCCACTAAGTCTGGACTATCTAAGGATTTAGATTCTATTTCACATTTGTCTCCCATTCTATCAGAGTAGGGTCCATCTACCTGCGCCAGCATGACTTTTAATAAAATAAAAGAGAAAATAATAGTTAACTAGGAAAGAAAATATCAGTGCCTGATGAGAATTAAAAGTAAATAATGTTTAATGAAACATGTATTCTAATGTTGTAGATAAGTCTTCATTTATATATGTTGGTAAAGTATTCATGGTTCTGTGAATTTTTGAAGCCCTGCATACTGTGTTGCAATGTAGATGCATCTCTCATTGTGGGTCATTGCCAAACAAGTTTGAAAAGCACTCATTTAGAAGCTGCAGTGGGATTTTTTCTTGCTTGCTCCCTTCTAGTCATAGAATGCATGTGTGATACAGAGTCTCTCTTCCTCCCTACAGAATCGGCGTCCCAGGGGTACCTGGACCTCACGGAACTCATCGGAGTCCCATTGCCCTCATCCGTGTCCTTTGTCACGGGGTATGGTGGCTTCCCGGCCTACAGCTTTGGGCCTGGCGCCAACATTGGCCGGCCGGCTCGGACCCTCATCCCACCCACCTTCTTCAGGGACTTTGCCATCAGTGTCACAGTGAAGCCCAACAGTAACCAGGGTGGTGTGCTCTTTGCTATCACGGATGCTTTCCAGAAGGTCATTTACCTGGGCCTGCGGCTCTCAGGCGTGGAGGACGGTCTCCAGCGGGTCATCCTCTACTACACGGAACCTGGCTCCCATGTGTCCCACGAGGCTGCAGTCTTCCTGGTGCCCGTCATGACCCACAGATGGAACCGTTTTGCTGTGACCGTCCAGGGTGAGGAAGTGGCCCTGCTGGTGGACTGTGAGGAGCACAGCCACGTCCCCTTCCAGCGGTCCTCGCGGGCCTTGGCTATCGAACCCAGTGCAGGCATCTTCGTGGGCAATGCAGGAGCTACGGGGCTGGAGAGATTCACCGTGAGTGTCCAAGTCCTGCTCCCGCAGATCAGGGAGGTTCCTGGGCAACAGGGCCAGCCGACATCAGTCTAACAAGGAGCCCTGGTGGCACTGTAGGATAAGCTCTGGACTGCTAGCCTGTGACAGGTCGCAGTTCAAACCTACCAGCCACTCCTTGGGAGAAAGATGAGGCTTTCTGGTCCCTTGGGAATGCTTTCTGGGGCTCTGTGAGTTGTAATAGACCTCATGGCAGTGGGTTTGGGTGATGCAGCGGTTAAGCACTCAGCAGCTAACTGGAAGGCCAGCAGTTCTACGGGAGAAAGATGTGGCTGTCTGCTTCCGTAATGATTTACAGCCTCAGAAACCCGTGGAGCAGTTCTACTCTGTGAGTTAGAATTGATTGGACAGCACCGGGTTTCTTGTTATTGTTTTATTCTTACATCCTCAGAGAGGCATGCCTGTAATGATGAGAAAATTCTAGGCTTAGAACTCACAAGTCTGATTCCCCATCCAAAGTTTTTAACTTAGTGTAGTGGTTACGAATCGGGCTGCGAACCTCAGGGTCAGTAGTTCGAAACTACCAGCTGTTCTGTGGAAGAAAGATGAAGCTTTCTGCTCCTGTAAAGATTTACAGCCTCGGAAACCCTGTACAGGGTCACTATGAGTCGGAACCGACTCCACAGCACATAACAATAACAAAGCCTGATGATACTAGGCAGTGCCTGGATCCTCTTGGTTTCTGTGTTTCCTCTTTTGTAAAATGAGGAGACTCAATCTACTTCACAGGCTGGTAGGTTAAATAAGACATCCTATATAAAACTACTTTGCATATTTCAAGAGGGAGTCAGTCCCTGATGGTGCAAACAGTTAAATGCTTGAGTGCTAGCTGAAAGGGTGGAGAGATTCAAGTCTACCCAGGGGCACCTCAGAAGAAAGGCCTGCCAAAACATCAGCCTTTGACAACCTATAGATCACAGTTCTACTCTGACTTACATAGAATCACCTTGAGTTGGAATTGACTTCACGGGACTGGTTTGTATTGCTTTTTAAATTCGTGTTAGTTCAAGTTGTGAACACAGTGTTTTCCAAGGACCTTTCCAGCTACTGGGGTGTGTTTGATATTGGAGATATGGTTTCCACTGGTGGTTGCGGTGGGTGAGCTGTAGTTATGAGAATGATAGCTTCTGACCCCTTTGCTTTTCCTTAGGGCTCCATTCAGCAGCTCACCATCCATCCTGACCCCAGGGCCCCGGAGGAGCTGTGTGAAGCTGAAGAGTCCTCAGTGAGTGCCCTCCTCTGTCCCCACAGGGGATCCAGCAGTCCTGACAGGGAAGGGCCCAGTGCCCAGGCAATTCCTCATCTCCAACATAATGGCATCTCTGAAGTCTCTTACCTTGGCAAACATTCCTTATCTCAAGACCTATTTTGGGTGTTTGGTTTTATTTTACTTTTTCGAGAGCTTCTGCCATCTCTTTGGCGTTGGGGGCTCTGCTTGCTATGAGGTGTTAGGTTCTTCTGTGTCTATGGCAGGCAATGACCTGGTTTCCAACCTTCCTGCCAGACAAGGGTGTCAGGATTCTAAAATCAAAGTTAAAACTCTGAGACATCCTGGGTGTGAATTCCTATAAAAAGTAACGTAAATTTAGCTTTTATGCTTGACAAGTGGATTCATTTCTAAGTTGAGGGTGGGGAGATGGGCATGAGAAAAGATGGCTTACTTCTTCCTCCCTCCCTCCATAGGAAAGTTCCCTGAGCCCCTACCAGGTGACCCCTGGGTAGGTGCTGGAGATACAGAGATAATCTCAGAACTGTCCTTGCCTCTTCAGTTGTTCTCACAACCTACACACCCAAATGCAACAAAGGAGCTGAGTGTGGCTAAAACACAGGGGAGGGATGAGAGGACGAAGTGGAGACAAGTCAGGGATGAGTGGGTACCTGGCCAGGTGAGGAGGCTGAAGGGCATCCTGGCAGAAAGGGCAGCAGACACAAAAAGTTAGAGGCCGGGCAGAAGTGGCATATTCCTGGAGCTTCTGTTTGTTCCTCTTTGGGTGGTGCCAACCCAAAACAAAACATAAGTTTCATGAATTTAGCAAAGCCTTCTGTCTCAGTTTAGTAGGAAGTCCCCCAGAGGTGGAATCTGGCTCTAAGAATGATTGTACTCCTGGAGCCATGTTCAAGCCTGACGTGCATGTGACGCACGGAGCAGGAAAGCCTTCTGTGTGCTCAGTCATTCAGCTCCACGGTACTGTTAATAAGAACAAAGTAGAGACAACCCACATCCAACAGCAGGGATTGGCTACATTGGCTGCCATTTGTAGATGCTATTTGTAGATTCCTGGTATGGTGCCGTAGGATAAGCACAGCACTGCAAGGTCAGTGGTTCAAATCCACCAGCCACTCCTCAGAAACCCTGTACAGGATCTCTATGAGTCAGAACCGACTCGGCGGCACTTAACAACAACAATTAGGACGATTATGTACCAACATGAAGGAATATTAGGGGTTATGGTTCCCACTGTGGAATTCTCATAGCAAGCCATGCAAAGATTGACGAGACATAAGGGAACCTGGAAAAATGAAAGTAGATGTGTTAGAGAAACAAAATTGATGATTTTGTTTGTTTGAACAATAAAATGTGGAAAGAAACAAAAATTAGCCAGGGATGCACACCACATACACACTTTCTCTCATTCTCTCTCTCTCACACACACACACTGAATTCTTGCACATTTCTGTCATTTACCCACTTTTCAGGCTCGTATATAAACTGCCCCCTCGCTTCTGGGTGTGATTTGTCTCCATACAGGCCTCAGGGGAGACAAGTGGGCTTACGGAGACGGATGGAGTTGCAGAGATCCTGGAGGCTATTACTTACACTCAAGTCCCGGTGAGTACTAGTGGCCGCTCACACAACCTGGGTCTACTCTCAGCAGGCTGAAGGGCACTGGGGGATCCTCAGATCTGTGACCTTTACCTTTGGCTCACCTGGTGGAAGGTTCAGGAAAGTCCTGGCTGGTGAGCATTTTGCTAGTACCCCATGTGCAGATGGAGACCTGGTATGGTGCTATGGGATAATGCCCTGGACCAAAAGGTCAGTTTGAACCTCAAAGTTGACATCCACCAGCAACTCCTTGAAAACCCTATACAGGGTTGCTATGGGTCAGAACTGACTCGATGGCACTCAACAACAACAATATATGGAGATACCTCAGTGCCACCCTGCGCTGTGGACACAAGAAAACTGCCCAAAGGCAGACACCCTCACTTCCCATCTCTGGAGGCTTGGGTCATGTCACTTACGCTCTTCATAAACCCTGCCCCATGGGTTCTGGCAAGATTCTATGAGGCAGTGCCGAGGTAGGCCTTTGCCCAGTGCCTGGCATGAGGAATGATGACGGTTGCTTGGGGCTCACCTGTGAGGGAGCAGCCTCTGCTACCAGTTGCAAAGTCCTCCCTCGGGTTTGCATTTAGCCATGGGAAAGGCAGCCTCCTCCCAGCGGTGCAGGATTCCTGCCTGCTGGGAATGGAGATCAGGAAGTGGTTTCTAAAGCACTGAGTCAGACTATGGAGACACTAACCAGCCTGTTTTTCAATGTCTGAGTCACCAAAACTAAAAAAGGCCCAGGCAATCACCTGGAGAGGTCTAGTTTACTCTGGATAGAAGAAAGCAGAGAGTTGGAAATAAGACAAAATCTAATGGAACTTGGTGGAGATTGAAGGAAAACTGAAAAAATGAAAGCAGATGTGCTAGAGAGACTGTAAATTGATGATTTTGTTTGTTTGAGCTATAAAATGGGGAAAGAGACAAAAGAAGAAGCCAGGAATGTATACCACCGACACCTGCAGTGACAGGGGTCTGGGTGAGATGGACTAGGACCATATAGTTTTGGTGGTGGTGGTAGGTGCCATTGATTCGGTTTCAACTCATAGCAACCCTATGTTCAGCAGAAGAAAATACTGCACCATCCTCACAACAGTTCCTATGTTTGAGTCCTTGTTGTAGCCACTGTCCGTCCATCTTATCAAGGGTCTTCCTCTTTTTTACTGACCCTCCACTTTACCAAGCATGATGTCCTCCGGAGCTGGTCCCTCCTGATAACATGTCCAAAGTATGAGAGACAAAGTCCTGTCTTCCTTGCATGTAAGGAGCAATCTGGCTGTACTTCTTCTTACACAGATTTGTTCACCCTCTGGCAGTCCACGATATTGCCAGTATTCTCCATCAACACCATGATTCAAATGCATCCGTTCTTCTCTGGTTTTCTTTATTCATCGTCCAAGTTTTGCATGCATTATGAGGTTATTGAAAATGCCGTGACTTGGGTCAGGAGCCCTTTAATTCTCAAAGTGACATCTTTGCTCTTTCAGACTTTAAAGAGGTCTTATGTGGCAGATTTGCTCAATGCAGTCCATCGTTTGTATTGACAACTTCAATGTTTTTTTCTGTTGATCGTGATGTTGCTTACAGGCTCAGGTGTGTGGATTTTTGTTCTCTGTATGTGGAGGTCTATTCTGTATTGAAGACTGTAGTCTTTGATCTTCATCAGTAAGTGCTGCAAGTCCTCTTTGCTTTCAGCAAGCAAGATTGCGTCATCCATACATCACAGGTTGTTAAAGTCTTCCCACAATCCTGATGCCATGTTTTTCTTCATACAGTCCAGCTTCTTAGATTATTTGCTCAGCATACAGATTGAATAAGTGTGGTTGGTAAAAGGATACAACCCTGACACACACCTTTGCTGATTCTAAACTATCCAGTATCCCCTTATTCTATTTTCAAATGACGGTTCCTTGGCCTATGTGCTGCAAGGACTTAAAGTCATCTTTTCCAAACTGCCCTTTTTAACAGAGGGGAAGAGGGGAAGAGACTCTGGAACCAGTACATGGATCTCATTGTGACCTGCCCAGGGTTCAGGCTGTGACCCGGGCCTACTGGCCAAGATGAGTATTGCAGAGGTCACTCCTCGAGACAGACAGGCTAGAGGAAGTTAAGGGTCAACCACCTACCTGGTGACTGACTGGAAGGGTGACTAACTCTCGGCAGTGTTGCAATCCTCTGTGTTCATCAGCCCTCAGCCACCCCATGTACCTGACCAGGGCACAGGGCAGCAGGGTACAGAGCAGTGGTCCCTTGGGCCTTCTCAGCCTGTTGCTGTATCCCCTCCCTGCAGTGCCTAGTTCGCAGCCTGTGAGGGAGGCTGACTCAGGTAGAGAGGGCATGAGAGTGGGTCAGGAAAGGGAGGGGTATGATAGCATGAGATGGTTGTGGCAGTGGGGTTGTCAGGAATGGCTTCTTGATGGACAGGGTACCCTTTTTTGAAGGGTGGGGCATTTTTGGATGTGATCAGAGTGATGAGAGGAGATGAAGGGAGGGAAGAAGAGGACCAACATCTCTCGATGCCCACTGTGTGTCTGGTACTTCTGTAGATAATGCCTGTGTGTCCTCCTTGTGGTACAGATGTAGAGACGGGTGCTGAGGAGGCAGTGCGCCAGCTCAGACCACTGGCTCCCCACCCAGGGTTTGGCCCCTGGACCCCAGTACTGCACACACAGAAGTTACCAGACAAATGCCCATCCTGTCTGGAGAAGTGACAAAAGAGGTTATCGGTGAGTTGATGGATTTGGTAGTCTTTGGAACACCCAAAACACTTTCTCTTCCATTTACCCTCTTGACTCTCCTCGGTGAATTTTAAGAGAATTATACAGATTGGAGGGTCCCTGGGTGGGGCAAAAGAACCGAATGTTGGCAGTGTGAATCCACCCAGTAGCACCACTGAAGAAAGATCTGGCATTTTGTTCCCATAAAGATTACAGTCAAGAAAGCCCTTTGGAGAAGTTCTACTATGCAACACCCTGGACCACTTGATGGCAAGGGGTCATTTTATGTGTGTGCAGACTGGAGTGCCAAGTCTCCAAGGACTGGTTGCTTGCTGACTCTGACTGAAGCTGAGCCTCTCCTGTCTCCGTTTCCTCGTCAATTGCAATGGAAATTCACCTGGTTGGTGAGAGGATGAGAGGCACTGAGCCCTGCCTGTGGCAAACACACAGTGAACGTTGACTGTTGCTCTTGATGTTGCTGGATCAGTCTCTGTGTGGATTAAGAGAAGCAATTAGAGCAATTAAGACAGCAATGATGGCCAGTAGCTCTTGGGGTCCTCTTCCCCACACCTGCTGCTGCATAGGCTGGTGGGAGTTTCCAGGCTTGCCAAACCCCTGCAGCTGCCCAGAATGCTAAGGGAATCCCCCAGAGAATTGTCTGTGATGGCCAGTGTCTCTTCCCCGTGTTCCCAGAACTGCTGTTTGCAGAGCTTTAGTTTCCTTTGCAGGGAGCCCTGGAAGCCTAGTGGGTTATGTGCTAGATTGCTACCTGAAATTCAGCAGTTTAAATCCACTAGCCACTCCAAGGGAGAAAGATGAGGCTTTCTGCTCTGGTAAAGATTTACAGCCTCAGAAACTATGAGTCGCTATTCAACAGCACTCAACAACAACATTGTCCCATCAATTTGACCTAGATGAGCTTAAGGAACTTTGTCCAGGCTGTCCAGCCTGTAGGGGGCAGAGCTGGGTCTTCAGTCTGCGGCCCCTGTACACACACACACACACACACACACACACACACACACACATAGGGGTTTGTACACACTTCACCATCTCCTGGGGACCCTCTTGAATCCTCTTCAGCAGTCACTGTTCAAGGGCGGGGCATTTCCCTCTTGTCTCAGACTTGCCCCTCCCTCTGTCTGCATTGAATTTCACTTCCCCATCCTCATTCTTTTCAATCCGTCACCCTCCAGAATGCCCTCAAGTTGAACATGAACCGTTTGAGCCATCGGGGACCTAAGAAGTCATTTAGAGCAGGAGTCCCTGCCACCCCATTCAAGCCCCCATGCTCATTCAATCTCTGCTGACACCGTTTTCCATTTCTGGAAAGTTTTATATCAAGTTGACTTAGAATAAGCACTCCTTGGTTCTCAGTTCTGACTGTATCTCATTGTCAACTGCTTGGGGCAGGGTGGAGAATCTGAGAAAAGACGCTTGTCTGGGCTGCATACCTGATAATTCAGACACAGTAGGTGTGTGGAAAGGAACTCTGGTAGCGTAGTGGTTACAAGTTGGGCTGCTAACCTCTGGGTCAGCAGTTCGAAACTACCAGCTGTTCAATGGGAGGAAGATAAGGCATTCTGCTCCTGTAAAGATTTACAGCCTCAGAAACCCACCAACTCCACAGCACATAACCACCACCACCAGGCATGTGGAATCCACATGTGGTACTGTAGGATAGTGCCCTGGACCGAAAGGTGGGTTCAAACTTACTAGCTGTTCCTCAGAAACCCTATGCAGGGTCGCTATGAGTTGGAACCAACTCAATGGCACTTAACAGCAACAGGAGTAGAGGGAAGCCACGACTCTGAACTTAGAGAAAACTCTGCCGTGACTGATGCGCAGCAGGACTGAGGGCTTCTCTGTGTCTGTACCCAAATGCTCACAGTTCCCCAAGCGTACCAGGAACCTTCACCTACATCCCTGCCTTAGCCGAAGGTCCCTGGGTGGAACACGGTTTGTGCTTGACTACTAACCCACGTAGCTGCACCATGGACCAAAGATCTACCTGGTGATCTATGTCCAAAAGATGACAGCCAGGGAAACCCTATGGAGCACAATTCTACTCTGTCATGGCACGGAGTGGGAATTGGCTAGACAAAACAGGTTCCCACCTTAGTACATTCGGTTCTGTTTGCCTGGGAGGCCATAGTGCCAAGTCCTCTTCTTCCCCCCTCCCCCTGGCCCCACCCCACCCCGTCCTTGGCTCTTTCGTCAGCTGTCCTTGTTGCTGTTGCTGGATCACATTACATCATGTTAGTTGTGTCTGGGTCTGCTTGTTTGTCTCCCCCTATGCTCTGACATTCTGAGGGCACACACTGTCTTATTTATCCATTCTGCCACATGGTAGGGTCTCAGGAAATGACTCAACATTCCTACTTCATCACAGACCTCTCAGGCTCCTCATCCATGTTGACCCTTGAAGGCCAACAGTGGCTTACTTGACCCCCACCGCTGAGGGATCCCACCTTTGGACAGGAGCTCATGGCTGCCTTGCTGGGCATTTGCCAAAAGAAGCTTGTGGCTGATGAGCTGCGGTCAGTGGTTTCATATAAACCCAACCTTTGCCCTTGAGTTCCAGAGCTCAGCCCAGCATTACATCATTCTCCTATGTTTTCCTTCCCTCACCCACCCTACTTGCCTTGTCCCAAAGCCCATGTGCCTTCTAAAGCAGCCTCACTCCAGGGCTTCCTTGGCATCATCAGAGAACCGTGGTGAAGTGGTTCTACTTGGACCCTTCCTGGGAGAGGAGAGGAAGCAGGAGTCCTCACACGCCCTCATAGATGTGTCTCCGGCTGGAGAGACATGGTCTACTTCACCCTTTCCTGAGTTGGTGCCAGGTCCCTGTCCCCCATCACTGCCCTGGTTCCTACTGCACTGCGCCTCTTTATTGCAACCTCCTGGTCTCTTGGCCTAAACTTCAGCTTCCCTAAGCCTTGTTCTCATTGCCACCAGAGTGAACTCTCAGCTAAACACTCCTCTTCATCTCACCACGACTCCAGCCCCCTCCATGTCCCTATCTCTTAGGCTCTGCCCCCTGCTTCTCTCCTCAAAGCCTTTGCCAAGCTCAAATTGTCAGGCCCTGCTGAGGTCATAGCCTTCCTTGCCCCAACCCCTCCATCCATCTCTGTTTTCTGAAACCTTGTTCATTCTTCAAGACCCAAATCCTGAAGCTTTCCTTCCCACAACCACATACCCCCCACCCCCATGGAAGCTTTATAGTACTCTAAACAATAGCTTTGCTTTTATCACACAAATACTCCATATTCATTATTAAGAATTTTACAAGTGTTGATGAGCAAAAGGATAAAGCAATCGCCTTTCCTATCAACTCTAGAGAAAACTACTGTCAAGGACTTGTTCTTTCTAGACTGTTAAAATTCTAATGGTGTTCATAAGCACTGGACTATAAACCATGTGTTGATGGTTCAAGCCCACCAGCTACTCATTGGGGGAAGATGAGGTTTTCTGTCTTGCAAAGATTTACAGCCTTGGAAACCCTATACAAGGTTGCTCTGAGTCAGAATGGACTTAACAGCACTTAACAGCAGGGGTGTTAATTAAAGCTACCATTTTGGGGGTTCAGGTATTGTGCTGAGTACTTCCAGGCACTTTCTACCCTGTGAGTAGTTATTATTGTCCCCATGTTATGGGAAGAAAGTGAAACCCAATGAGGTTACATGACTTGTCCAACATAAGATCCATCTCTGACTGTAAGAACGGAACCCTTAAGCCCTAAGCATCCTCGCTGTGAGTCACTGTATGCTAAATTCTGACATTAAAGAAATCATTTGCTATGATTAGTCAGAATGGGTAGGTTATACTGCAGTAACAAACTAACCCTGAAATCTTACTGTCTTAACAAGACAAAGTTATATTTCTTGCTCACAGCACAAGTTCAACAATGGTCAGGAGGGTCCTTCCACTCACTGCTCAGCTCAGTCCCTCAAGCTAGTAAGTGATAAGATTACTTGAGTATTGCCCAGCCCTGGGTCTCTTGAACTGCTTCCTGTATCCTGGGTCTGGGGTGATGTGACAACCTTTGTTGCCCTTCTCAAGATTCCGCTGTAGTTTCCAGACATGCTCTGTGAGAAAATTGGCTGAATTTTCTCCCCTAGTTGTTAAAGTTGGTTGGCATTGACTGGCCTTGGAAAAGCTATGCCGATGATGAAGTTTCCTTGGGAAGAACCCATCTCCATGTCCATGGTTAGTGCACACCTGGGATGGGTTTACACAGAGGTTATAGAGACCTTGTATGCCAGTGTAGGATATGCACTGGGCTGCTAACCAAAAGGTAGATGGTCCAAACCCACCAGCTGCTCCTTGGAAACTCTCTATGGGTCGCTGTGAGTCAGAACCAACTCCACGGAGTGCTCCCTGACTCATTCCCTCATCTCACAGCTCTTTACTGAGCCTCCCATCGGGGCCAGCTGGGATGTAGGGATCACAGACTGTGGACTCTGTGTTCAAAGAGCTCAGCTGAGATTCACAGAATCTTGCTGTGATCAGAACAGAATTTATTAACCACCTCTAGCATCACCAGCGGGCTCCATGACTGCCTAGGTACCAACAGGCGGGTCTAGGTTTTCTTGTCTCATCAGCACATGTTTTTGCCGCCATTTTCTTCTGCTTTACTGCCCACTGAATCTTTCGGATCTCATTTCCACCCTTCAGCCTGGAGAAGCAGAAGTAGAACCTATAAACACACCTCCAACTCCATTCCCTCCTTCTGAGGATGCAGAGCTTTCTGGTGAACCTGTATCTGAGGAAGCCGCCAACCTGAGCGTTATTGTGCACAGCATCTCCGAGCAAGGCAAGTCTGGGGTGTGCGTTCCTAGGCAGTGGCTTTTCACTGAGTGTCCTGTCGTCCAGCCTGAGCCATGTGTGTAACATACAGCATCTCATTTCACGTTCCCCTCAGCCCTTTAAGGAAGGAATTGCTGTCATCTTCATTCCAGTGACAGAAGTAGCTCACCGAGGGTATGTGGTGGTGGTTGTTACTGTACACGGTAGCCCCATGCACAGTGAGAGCTGACTGATGTCATTCAGAGGGATTTCACTCACTGATATCTACAAGTAGACGGTCAGGCCTTTCTTCCTAATCTTAGTCTGGAAGCACTACTGAAACTTCTTCAGGATCAGAGCAACACACACATTTCCCCCGACAGAGAGTGGTGGCTGTACTTGAGGAGTTTTGACTGGAAACCCAACCCAGGTCTCCTGTATGGGAACGAGAATTTTGCCAGTCGACCATTACCAGAAGCATCATTCAGAAAGGTTACATGATGTGTCCACACTTCATACAGCCAGTGAGTTGGCTCCACAGTCCTGACTCTTTCTAGCTTCGTCCATAAGCTGCCTGATTCGCGGAGGATCAGGTCATCAAAGTTCCTTAGTGGTACACATGGGGAAATTGATGCTTAGAGAGGGGTGGGACTGCTAAAGTCACCCCACAGGCCTGGGCAGGTACACTGGCCTTTTGGCTGCCCATCCAGGCCTCTCACCTTTGCCCCTTGCTCCTCCACTTTCAAGGAAGGGTCCAAGATCAGACTTTGTTCCCCAGAAGCCATGTGCTCAAGGCCCGAGGTCACCCTGTGCTTTTGACCTTTCCTCAGAGGGACAGAGTTACAGCCACACCAGATTTAGGGGCAGCACTGCTCCTGTTAGCAAAGTAACCCAAAGCACCCACAGTAGTGATTGACTGGGGAAATTTGATCTCATTCATATGTTGTTGTTAATTACCATTGAGTTGGTTCCAACTTATAGTGACTCTGTATAGGGTTTCCAAGGAGCAACTGGTGGGTTTGAACCGCTGACCTTGCAGTTCAAACAGACCTTGTGATTCAGTACATTATCCTACAGCACCACACCAGGACTCATTAATATATGCACTCCTAAAATGGATGATATAGAAGAATATTTAATGACCTCATGGTATTAATTATGATATATTCCCCCCAAGGAAACAGAATTCAAAACTGTATATTTGCTATGAGTCTAGTTTTATATATGTTGTTTATATCTATAGAGTTCTGGTATGGTGTTATAGGATAAACACTGGACTGCTAACCACAAGGATGGCAGTTCAAATTCACCAGCCACTCCTTGGAAACCCTACACAAGGTCACTATGAGTTAGAACTGACTTGATGGCACTTCACTACAACAACATACATGCTGCTGTTAATTGGAAGTTCAGTGGTTCAAACCCACCAGCTGCTCTGAAAGAGCCATGACCTGGTGATGTACTCCTTTTAAGGTTGTTGTTGTTGTCATGTGCCATCGAGTCGGTTCCAACCCATAGCCACCCTGTACAGGTTTTCCGAGGCTGTACATCTTTATGGGAGCAGAAAGCCTCATCTTTCTCCCGCAGAACAGCTGGTAGTTTTGAACTGCTGGATATTAAGGTTCGCAGCCCGATTCGTAACCACTACACTACCAGAGCTCCTAAGAAACTCTATGAGTCAGCTTTGCTCCGTCTTATAGGGTCATGAGTCAGAATCAACTCAGTGACACACAAGAACATAGAGTGTGAGGAAGAAAGACCTGGAAATCTACTTCTGAAAAAATCAGTCATTGAAAACCCTAGGGAGTACAGTTCTACTCTGACACACATGGGGTCACCATGAGTCAAAATTGACTTCACAGCTGGGGTTTTTGTTTTTGTTTTTAGAGAATGATGTTTGTGTGTATGTGCATATTAGAATAAGATACACCAAAATGTAAGCAGTTATCTCTGAATGGCAGGGTTATGGGTGGTTTTTATTTGCTTTGTTGTACTTCTGTATTTTGCAAGTTTTCCGTAATAAACATGCTATTAATTTTTTCTGCCATCAGAAAATGAATGTTATTTAAAATCTAATCTTGGGAGGCCATGGGAGAGAGAAGGTATACAGTACTGAATGGAGGAAGATTTATAATAATTTAATAAAGTCATCATAAATCCAAGGAGCCAGGGTTTTGCTGTGGAAAGACTGCAGGGCCAATAACAAGGGGTTTGGGAGGAGTCCCAGCTAAGCCACCTATTGGTCGCCTGGACTGGGGCAAGCTGCTTCCCATTTCCAAATCTCATATTCCTTATCTGTCTGGCTCCCGACCTGATGAGAGGACTGGTGGTGGCCTGGATGTGGAAGTGGTTTCCAAATTGTGTGCTCTTCCAGGAGATGAATTAGGATCTCCAAAAGACAGTCAAAAGTCATGGGGCCTCTCCTAGACTGAGGGGTACATGCAAAGGAAGAAGTTCCCAAAGCACGCTGGTATCCAGCCCCCAACACTGCTGGGATCAGCCAGGCGTCTTTATCTGTCAGATAAAAGGCGGAGCAGAAACAATGGAGCTCCTAAATTGTTCCCTTTCTTCATGCTGGGTGAACAGCCCAGATGGTGAAGGAAAAGGGGCGGAGCCCAAGCCTGGCCTCTAGCTAGGGAAAGCCCCTGATTTTACTCCAAGCTTCCCTGGCAATGTGCCGCGCCCTCCCTCCCCTTCCAGGCTAACAAGGGGACACAGAGGCCAGGGTCCTGCCGGCTGCTTGCGCTGCCTCTTCCAGAGGTCAGAACAGAGGATGAGAGAGGATGGTGAGGGACAGACAGTTTGTTAATGCGCCAGACTACAAAGCCGTTTGAACTGCAAGGTTGGCGGTTCAAGCTCAACAGCTGCTCCTTGGAAACCCTATACAGGGTCGGTATAGGTCGGAATCGACTCAATGGCACTTAACAACAAGGACGTTGTTCTTACTGTGGGACATGCATGAGCCCAGCATACATGGAAAGGGCTCAGAATCGGAACAGGCTGACCTGGCTTCAGTGCCCCTCCCAACTACTGACTCTTGTTGTTGTTAAGTGCCATCGAGTCGGTTCCGACCCATAGCGACCCAGTACAGGGTTTCCAAGGGGTGTAAATCTTTACGGGAGTAGAAAGCCTCATCTTTCTCCCGCGGAGCAGCTGGTAGTTTCAAACCACTGACCTTAAGGTTCGCAGCCCGATTCGTAACCACTACGCTACCAGAGCTCCTTTGTGGAACCTCATTCCCCCTCTGCAAAATGGGGTTAATAGTAACAATGTGTGAACGTGCAGATCAGAGTGGGACACGCATGTCATGTGGTGACAGGGTGGTGGTTGAAAGCGTGGGTTCCCATCCTTCCTGTTGTTGTTAGGTGCCTTTGAGTCGGCTCCAACTCACAGTGACCCTATGGCACAACAGAAGGAAACACTGCCTGGTCCAATGCCATCCTCACAAATGTTGCATCTGGTTCCCATCCTGACTCAGCCCTATTGGCAGCCAGGTGGTGGGATGGGTCCTTCCAAGTGGGACGGATTTCCTAGTGGGAGGATTCAATAAGAGAGGGCACGGAACAGGCTTAGCCCAAGGCCTAGCTCCCAACAGGCATGCAATTATGTTCATGTCATTGCTTTGTCATTGCTTTAGGACTCCATTAGTTTGTTAAGTTGAAAAACATACATGTGCTGGTAGGAAACATTCAATCAATACAAAATTGTCAGATCCAAAAGGTATTGTTTCTTCTACTTCCTCCACTCCTAGTCTGTAGAGGATGGAGTGATATGTCATTAATGTACAAAATAGTAAGCTAGTAGATTTTTTACCATTGTCATAAACGTGAAGTGTTGGATAATGAGATAGTTGATAAATAAGGAGTAATACAGTTAATTAAAGGCATTCTGGTAGCGTAGTGGTTACGAATTGGGCTGCTAATCTCACGGTCAGCAGTTCGAAACTACCAGCTGTTTTGAGGGAGAAAGATGAGGCTTTCTGCTCCTGTAAAGATTTACAGCCTTGGAAACCCTGTACAGGGTCACTATGAGTCAGAACCGACTCCACGGCACATAACAACAACAACATAGTTAATTAACATTCATCGGTTACTTGCTACATTCCAGGAACTGTCTTCCATATTTTTTCTGTATTTCCCTGTTTAATTCTTATAACACATCACAACCCTGTGGGGTAGGAGTGATTATTATCCCCTTTCCTGAGGCACTGGTTAAGCGACTGCCACAGAGCATGTTCCTCTTAAGTAGCAAAGTGGGATTTAAGCCCCAAAGTTGAGGCCAGAGCCCACGATCTGACTCACCAACAATGCTACATTTTTACATTGTTTTTATGCCCCACCCCCTTCTAATCCTATATAGTGGACATGTTTCCAAGCCTGTACGTAATGAGATACATATTCTTTTTCAATAATTCAAATTGTAGCTACTAACTAGAAAATGTCTTCTCCTTGTAGGGTCTGGGGAGATCCTGAATGACACACTGGATGGGGTTCCCACTGTTGACGGTGGCCCCATAGCAGACAATGGTTCAGGTGATGGGGCCTTCCTTGGTGTCGTGAAAGAAAAGGTAAGTAAATGGTGAATTTCATTCACTAAATCAGTGGTAAATGTGTCGACTTATTTCAAACCGGGTGGTGAATTTTACTGGGTATCTAGAGAACCAAGAGGAGTCCTGGTGTGGTGCTGTAGGATAAGCACTGGACTGCAAGTCGATCTGAACTGCAAGGTAAGCAGTTCAAACTTACCAGCCACTCCTTGGAAACCCTATACAGGGTCACTATGAGTCAGAATCGACTCGACGGCACTTTACAAAAGAGAACCAGAAGGGTTTTAGTGCCAGGCATGGAGGATGCCTCCTTCCTCATGGTACAGAGACAGTGCGAGTCCCGGACCCAGGGAGGAGATACAGCTCGACCTTATATCTCTGCTCTCCCAGGTAACCACTCCCTCCGCCCTATTGTGAAGATAGAGCATCTTCTCCAGCCCTTTAGTTGTTGTTAAGTGCCATCAAGTTGGTTCCGACCCATAGCGACTCTGTATTGGATCTCCAAGGAGCAGCTGGTGAGCTCGAACTGCCTACCTTGTGGTTCAAAGTGGCTTTTCAGTCCCGAGTATTAGCCCTCAGTGCCACACCAGGACTCCCTTCAGTCCTTTAAGCCCCTTCAATCCAGAACCAAATTAGCCGAAAGTGTGCCTGCTCTTTGCTAGTGGGTTTTGACTCCTACAAAGCCAGTCTCTGAAATGCTGGACACAGTGGGTTGCAAACTTCAAGCAGGTTTGCTTTTGTCACAATGGCCCTTGCTAACAACCCAGAGTGTCAGCTCTTTCTTTCCTTGTCCCGTGATGGAAACTCAGTCTCCTAGCTCTCCAGAAGACAGTCTATTTTCACAAGTGTTTAAAAAGTCCAGCCACGTCCAGTAAAATATCATAAATTCAACAAAAACACAAATATAGCTCTTCCTTCCCTCATGCAGGCCAACAGAGGCCAGGAACCTGCACCGAGGAAGGTGGTTAGCGGCTTCCTCTCTGATCCCTTTCTTCTTTCTCTTCTTCCGTTCATCCACCCACCTCCCACCCCCACCCCTAGCAGCAGCTTTTAACATGTTCAGGGGCTTGTGCACCAGAGAAAGGACCGGGGAAAGAAGCACAGTTTTACCTGGCTCGTGAAATTGTGATCTGGTTCCTTGCTGTAATTTTCTCTCATGGGGTTTTTGTGACTCCTTGGAAGCCCTCCTGCAGGGATCTAGGATAATAGTTCCATTGCAGAGCTTGTGACTTCTGCCTGGGTTCCCACCCCACTGTTGGTCATGTTTGAAAAATCCAACTAGACTTTGGCTAGATGGTCATTTTCGTTAAAGTTTGTTTCAAGATGTCCTTAGCCGCTCCCTTCGGAGGAGTCTTGTCCCATCCATCCCAATAAAGAAACTGCAAGGCAGACCCATCGCTCCTTCTTTGCTCTGGATCTAAGTGGCTTCCTGCGTTTTGCCTTTTATCTTTCCCTGGAGAGAGTCAGATGCCAGTCCCTGTTGGTAGGTGCCATTGAGTCCATCTGACTCATAACAACACTGTGCATTACAGAACAAAGTCCTGCTTGGTTCTGTGCCATCCTCACAATGGTTACGCTTCAGCCCATTGCTGCCGCCACGTGCCAACCCATCTTGTTGGAGGTCTGCCTATTTTTCACTGACCCTTCGCTGTACCAAAGATGATGTCCTTCTCTGGGGATTAGTCCCACCTGATCATATGTCCAAAATATGAGAGACATAGTCTCGCCATCCTGGTTTCTAAAGAACATTCTGATATACTTCTTTCAGAACAGATTTGTTTGTTTTTCTGAAAATCTATGGACTTTTTTTTTTTTTAATTGTGAGTTGAGTGATAGTTTACATGGGAGAACATCAGTTTTACACTCATCATTTCATTGCAAAGATTACAGTTGCCTCTGTGCGTCTTCATTCAACATTATTTGCTTCTCTTCCCTCTCTTTTGTTTTGTTTGTTTTGGGGATATACACAAAAGCACTCAGGAATCTATAATCATTTAAGCAACGAAAGGGCACGTTCTGAAAGCCTGTCTCCTGGCCACCAGCAAACAGTATTTCTTCTTCCATGAGTCTAGAGTCCTCAGCTGCTCTATCTCTCTATGCCCTCATCTTTGCCTCCATCTCTGGTATCGTTTCTTCTCTGGATAAGGTCTCGCATTCCGCTTGTGCTCTTCTCCCTTGATGGTCCTAGGGTCCTCTGTTCCTGGACTGTAAGATTAGTTACTCTCCCCTTTTTGTTAACAAAACTTCTGCCTTTACCGTTGTGACAATGGTAATTAGTCATGATAATAATAATTCACTATTGAATCATAAGAATCATATCCCCATCTCCTTTTACCAGACCCATCTAGACAAGATGAAAACTATTCAGTGGGGATTCCACCCTCCCCTCCACACTCTGAAACTAAACTCCCTCTTAAAAACTTGTAAGCCAGTCACTTTGTGTCTTTATAACCCTCCCATTTTAGGTAGATACTGTCTAAATTGCCTGTCCCTGTCAACCCTGAATATAGAGAGGATAGGATTGATGCTTGAGTAAAGACTCCTTCTCTCTCAGTTGGTATTTTGAGCTACTACATCCTTAAGTATAGGTCAAATTCATAAAATTGTAGCAATTTACCCTGATTTCCTTTATTAAAAAATTTTTTTTAAATCTTCCTCTAGTTGAATTCTGATCATCAGGCCATCATGCTAGGTCATATGGATATTACCTACAAGTTTAGGTATTCTTGTGCATCTCCTCTCACTTCACATCAGCTAGTCCATAGTACTTTTAATATTCTTCTCCAACACCAAAACTCAGAAGCATCAATTCTTCTATGGTCTTCCTTCCTTATTCATTGTCCAACTTTCACACACATATGAGGCTGTTGAAAATACCATGGGTTGGGTCAGGCACACCTTAGTCCTTAAACTAATATCTTTGCTCTTGAACACTTTGAAGAGGTCTTGTGCAGCACATCTACCTGATGCAATACGCCCTTTAATTTTTGACTGATACTTCCATGAGTGTTGATAGTAGAGCCAAGCAAAATCTTTGACAACCTCCATGTTTTATCCATTTATCATGATGTAAATTATTGGTCTAATGATGAGAATTTTTGTTTTCTTTGCACTGAGGTACAACCCGTACTGAAGGTTGTAGTCTTTGATCTTAATCAGTATTTTAATTTCTCTTCATTTTCAGCAAGCCAGGTTGAATCATCTGCATATCACAGATTGTTAATGAGTCTTCCACCAATCTTGACACTACATTCTTCTTGAGATAATCCAGCTTCTTGTATTATGTGCTCAGCATACAGATTGAATAAATATAGTGAAAAAATATAACCCTGGCGCACACCTTTCCTGATTTTAAACCATTCAGTGTCCCCTTGTTTAGTTCTAACAATTGCCTCGTGGTCTATGTATAGGTTCCTAAGAAACACAGTTAAATGTTCTGGGATATCCATTCTTCCCGATGGTATCCATAGCTTATCATGATCCACACAGTCAAAAGTCTTTGCATAGTCAATAAAGCACAAGTAAACATTTTTCTGGTTTTCTCTGCTATCTGCCAAGATCCAGTCGATGTCAGCAGTGATGTGCCTTGTTCCACATCCTCATCTAAATCCGGCTTGAATCTCTGATAGCTCTCAGTAAATGTACTGTTAAGGCCATTTTTGAATTATCTTTAGCAAAATTTTACTTGTGTGTAATGTGGTGTTGCAGGCTAATGCGCTAGACAGCAAGTTTGGGTTGAACTGCAAGGTCGTAGGTTCAAGCTCACCAGCTACTCTTTGGAAACTCTATACAGGGTCACTATGAGTTGGAACCGACTTGACGGCACTTAACAACAACAACAGCAGCAGCAACAATATTATAATATTGTCCAATGATTTCCACATTCCATAGGACACCTCTCTTTGGAATGAACAAAATTATGGATTTCTTCCAATCAGTTTGGACAGGTAGCTGTCTTCCAAATTTCTTGGTATAGATGAGTGAGCACCTCCAGTGCTGTATCAGTTTGTTGAAAGATTTCAATTTGTATTCCACCAATTCCTGAAGCCTTGTTCTTTGCCAGTGCCTTCAGTGCATATTGGACTTCTTCCTTCAGTACCATTGGCTCTTGATCATATGCAACCTTTTGAAATAGTTGAACATCAACCATTTGTTTTGGATACAGTGACTGTGCGTTTCTTCCATCTTCTTTTGAATGTGACAATCATATAGTTTACTATGTCAGGAATGACAAATTGAAGAGGAATAGTGTTGCATTCATCATCAAAAAGAACATTTCAAGATCTATCTTGAAGTACAATGTTTTCTGTGAGAGGATAATATCCGTGGTCCTGGTGTGGCACTGTAGGTTAATGTGCTGGACTGCAAAGTCAGCTTGAACTGCAAGGTCAGAGGTTCACGCTCACTGGCCACTCCTTGGAAACCCTTACAGGGTTGCTATGCATCGGAACTTAGTCGAAAGCACTTACAACAACAGCATAAGGAAAACAGGAGTCCTGGTGTGGTGCTGTAGGGTAAGCATTAGACTGCTAACAGCAAGGTTGGCAGTTCAAGCTCACCAGGTGCTCCTTGGAAACCCTATACAGAGTAGATATGAATCAGAACTGACTTGAGGCACTTAACAACAAGAAGGAAAACCACCAAACACTGAAGCCAGTAGCGATGAAATTGAAGAATTTACCAACTTCTTCAGTCTGAAATTGATCAAACATGCAATCAAGATGCAGTGATAATTACTGGTGATTGAAAGGTGAAATTTGGAAACTAAGAGGAAGGATCCGCAGTTGGAAAATATGTAGAAATGTTGCAGAAATGATGCTGGAGATTGAATGTTGGAATTTTGTATGATTTATTCATTGCAAATACCTTTTTTAAACAACATAAAAGACAACTATACGCATGGACCTCACCGGATGGAATACACAGAAATCAAATTGTCTATATCTGTGGGAAGAGAGGGTGGAAAAGCTCCATATCACCAGCCAAAAGAAGGTCAGGGGCAGACTGTGGGACAGACCACCAATTGCTCATATGCAAAGTTCAGGCTGAAGCTGAAGAAAATTAAAACAAGTCTAGGAGAGCCAAAATATGACTCTGAACATATTCCACCTAAATTTAGAAATAATCTCAAGAACAGATTTGGTGCAGTAGACTCTAATGAGTTGTGGGATGACTTCAAGAACATCATACATAAAGAAAGGAAATGGTTTTTAAGAAGACAAGAAAGAAGGAAAAGACTAAAATGGATGTCAGAAGATATTCTGAAACTTGCTCTCCAGTGTAGCAATACTAAAGCAAAAGGAAGAAGTGAGGAGGTAGAAGAGTTGAAGAGAAAATTTCAAAGAACAGATCAAGAAGGCAAAGTCAAGTATTATAAGGAAATGGGCAAAGACCTGGAGTTAGAAAACCAAAAGGGAAGAACATACTCAGAATTTATCCAGGTGAAAGAACTGAAGAAAAAATGCAGGCCTTGACTTGCAATATTAGTGGTTACGAGTTAAGCTGCTAACCTCAAGGTCAGCAGTTCGAAACTACCAGCCATTCCACGGGAGGAAGATTTCACCATGCACTCTGCAGGAGAAAGATGAGAGTTTCTGCTCCCATACGAGATTTGTAGCCTTGGAAACCCTGTATAGTTCTCACTATGAGTCAGACTGATTTAGTGGCACATAGCCACCACCATGGAACCATGAGAACATCTGTCTGTGCATCTTTAAGGGGACACTGAATCATAGGAAAGAGAGGAGGCAGAGTTTCTGTCTGGAGAGGGCTGAGGAGGGTGGGATTGCCACCTGCCCATCTCCAAAACACTGTCCTGGGTAAGCATGTTTGACCTGCTTTTAGAAGTCTGCTTGGGCCCTTAGAGGAGAAGAATGTTTGGTAGAAGTGTCCTGCTTCAGGGAGACAGGTGACACAAGCTCCCCATCACTGTGCAGACAGAGGTTGATGTCAATGGCCTATCCCTGTGAGATTCTGGACTCTAGTGAGGCTACAGGCAGGTCACAGAAATCAAAGTGCTCTGAGCAAAAGGAAGTACACATGCGCCAGTTGCTAGAGGAACCCAGACAGCTGTTCTCCCCAGCAGAGACACGCCAGTCAGGGCTCAACAACATGCTCTCTCATGATGGCTTTGTTTTCAGGGGCCTCATACTGAAGAAGGTTTAGCAGCAACAGCAGCAGCTGGGGAGACCGAGGAGCCCGTCAACACTACCTTGGAAACAGAGGCTGGTAGTGTGCCCACTGAGGGGCTGGCCCTCTCCCTGTCCACCGAGAAGCCCGGGGAGTGGGTCACTTCAGTAAGTAGCCGACTGCACACTCCATGTCCTCTCTCTCCATGGTGTGGGGGTAACTCTCGACTTGAAGCAGGCACAGGCTTCCGTCAAGCAATCCCCAGAGATGAACAGTAAATGTCCAGTAAATTAGACAAGGTTCCTGAGGTCAGAGTTGTACATGGGCATGAAGAGCGGCACAGGATACTCTGGGAGCACAGAAAAGCAGCCCCTGGACCCAGCCTTGGGGACAGAGAAGGGGATGTCACAGAAGGAGGCGCTTCAGGGTGGGGGGTGAGAGACAAGTGGGCCAGCAGAAGCAAAGGCCTATGGGCTTAAAGATGACTCTGAGAAGACCCATAGACCTTCACCACGCCCTTAGCACTGTGTGTGAGCCAGGGACAGGGAGAGATGATGCTGGAGAGCCCTTGGAGGCCATGGCAAGGAGCCTGGAAGTGTTCTGCAGAAATGGGAGCCACTAAGTACTCCTGGTCTGGTCCCATCAGATCAGCATTGGACTGCGAACCATAAGGTCAGCAGTTCAAACCCACCAGCTGCTCCTCGGAAACCCTATACAGGGTCGTTATGAGTTGGAGTCGACTCAGTGGCACTAACAACAGAAACAAGGTCTACTGAACAAGGACAAATGTTAGAAAGATCACCGTGACTGTTGAGGAGTCATGTCTGCCATCTGGGAGAGGGATGGAGTTAGCTTATAATAGGGCTCTGGTGGTGCAACAGTTAAGAACTTGGCTGCTAATGAAAAAGTTGGCAGTTTGAGCCCATCCAGTGGCTCCACTGAAGAAAGATGTGGCTTTCTGCTCCTACGAAGATTACATCCTAGAAAATCCTGCTCTGAGCGCTCAGCAGTTCTGCTCTGCTGCATGTGGTCGCTATGAGTCAAAATTGACTCAGCAACACCTAACAACAAAAGGTGAGGTCAACAGTATAAATGCTGCTAAAGTACCAGTGAGTCCAGGATTTGTAAACTTGGCTACCAGTGTCCTGGGGGACAGCAATTTTAGACATGTGGGAAGGATAGAAGCCATACTGCTCTGGGCCAGGGAGAGTGTGGTGGGGAAGTGGTCAGTGGGTACAGACAAGTCCAACAAGAGAGCTACCAAGTCCAAGCACCTGGATTCAGTCCTGCACAAAGCCCTGGACACTCAGGAGAGGCCCCTGCAACCAGAGTGTGGGTGGGAGTTGAAGGGTTTGCTGGTGTGTTCCCAGGGCTCCGGGTCAGGAGCTGGGGGAGCCACTCTGGGGGGATGCTGGAGAAGGACCACACCCAGCATTGTGTCTGGGAGTCCCCCTTTCTGCCTGATGTCCCACTGAACATGGGGCAGAGTTACTGTTGAGTCTAATGATGATGTGGTCCCTCCTGATGTCTTTCTTTCCAGGGTTCAGATAATGAAGAAAGTTTAGCAGTAACCGTAGTAACAGCAGAGGAGTCCGAGGTGCCTATCAGCAGTGCTGGGGAAGCAGAGGCTGACAGTGTGCCCACCCAGGGCCCAACCCCCTTCACATCCACCAAGAACCTGGGAGATGAGACTACTCCAGTAAGGAGCTTCGAGGGCTGGGAGGTTGAGTCTTGGCTCGGTGCAGCCACTGCCTTCATTCCTGGCAAACGGCAGGCACTCAGTGAATATTTGCTGAGTGAGAGAACAGAGGAGCCCTGGCCTTTGGGTCATTGACACTTCTTCTGGCCTAATATCCATCCAGGGCTACTTTGCAGTGGGAGGGCTCAGGTTGCAGTGCTCTGCAGGCCACTTGGCAGTTGTATGGTTGTTTCAGTAGTAAAGTGGTCCCTGTCATTGTCTTCCCCATTGCCTTGGTCTTCATTGCTTTCTTCTTCCTCCAGCCCCTCTTCTTCTTCTTCATTCTCTCCCTCCGTCACCTCCTCTTCGTCTTGCTCCTCTTCTTCCTTCTTCCCCTCATCCTTCTGCCCTGCCCACCTCCTTCTTCAAAGGCACAGCACTGCTCAGAGTGAGAAAGCCAGGCCCCAGTTCCACCAAGTCTTAGCTTAATAGAAGCAGACCTGGGCCAGCAGCTGTCTGAGTGGAAAGGTTGCCTATGCATGTGGAGAGCCCCTAGCTCCTGGAGCTGTGCAAACCAAGGCAGATGAGCTCTTGGCTGAGAAGTGCATTTGAACTCTGGGCTGTGGGACTGAGATGTGGTCTGAGATGAACAGTGGAAGGGGAGCTATGAAGACGCACACCAGCTACCTGGAGGCCCTGCCCCAGGGGTGTGGGTGAAGTGGCACGGTCCCCATGTCAGTGTTGTTTCAGGGTCCAAACGATGAAGGAAGTGGGACCACAGCAGCAGAAGTACTACTACTCAGCACGGCCGAGGAGGAAGAGGAGGTCAGCAGGGTCCCCACGGAAAGCCTGGCCCTCCTCACACCCACAGCGACCCCTAGAGGAGGGGACGCTACGGTAAGTGCCACCCAGTGGCCTCTCTGCCTCAGCCTGACCCACAGGATGGACAAGGCTGGAATCAGGACGGAGAAGCTGCTGGCCTTCCCAGAGGCAGATAATGCTTAGCTGTGTGTTGGGTATGTAGGTGGGTAGGCCCCATTCAGAGGACAGCAGGATGCAATGGACAGAGGAAATCAGGAGTTGGTTTTTCATCCCAGAAAAACTTCCCAAAGGCAGAGTGGCTCAATACCAGAAGGGGCTACTGGTGACGCTATGAGCTCCCCAGTCCTGAGTGTGGGAAGTGAGTCTTGGAGTGGATGGGTATTTCAGCTGAGTCTGTGACTGTGTTGGGGGTGACAGTGTTGTAGCTAAGATGTGTTTTGAAATTGGGCTAGTGTCATAGAAATAACACTTTCTTAAAGTCTCTGGCAGCTACGAGTCAGAATCGGTTTGGATTTGGGCTTGGCAGCCACGCACAAATTGCTTTGTGGGTAAGGTGACCGATTCCTGGTGTTGGTCTTCTTTCCAGGGTCTTGGCAATGAAGATTTATCATCAGCAACCGAGGAGCCCCTTGCCAGCACCTGGGGAGAAGAGTCCAGCAGTGCTCCCCCTGGCGGGCCCCCACTCCCTGTACCTACAGTGACTCCTGAAAGTCTTTACATCACTCCGGTAAGTGAGAGAAAGAAAGGCTAGAATTGTGGGTGAGACCTGCCCCTGCCTTCTAAGAGGTGGACTTTCATTTTGACTTGCAAAGTGTTGAATCTGGGCCTCAAAGAAATTACAATGTGTAGAGGAAAAACCAAGAAGTAGAAATAAGGAGACCTCGCTCCATGTCCTATACTCCCACCTCTTTAATTGGAATAAGACCTTTCCAGCAGGAAGACTGTCCAGAAATGTCAGACCCACCTGAAATGTCCTGCAATTCCCACCCCATGCGTGTGAAAACAGCCGGGGCTTGGCAGGCATCATAGTGGGGATGTGGAGAGAGGTGGCCACTCAACATGAGTTTCTCTGATTCTGGGCTGCAGCTGAATGCCTTGAACCACATCTTTTCACTGCCCTGGGCTTCAGTTTCCCCAAGAGGGCAGCTATGAAGTGAGGTTGCAGAATGCACTTTGGAAAGCTCTGTACACACACAGGTTACCACATGAAGTTTCCCAACTCTGTCTTTCAGAGGTAAGAAACTCAGAACTGGTGCTCAGAGGGGATTAGGGAATGAAAGGCTTTTCAAATGTGACTTTTTTTTTTTTTTAATGTTTTATTGTGAATTATATGATAGTTTCCATGAGAGAACCTCAGTTCCATATTCATTCCATTGTATATCATTACATTGCCATGGTTCCAATCCCCTCCATGCCTCATCTTCCTACCAAAGGGCATATCCTAGAAGCCCGTGCTTTACCTTCCACCCTCCCCCCTCAGTCTTTGGCCCACAGTTCCTCTCCCTCTCTGGATCCAAAGTCCCCAGCCGCTTCATCCCTCCTTGTCATCATCTCTGTCTCCATCTCAGGCATCCCCGGTTCTCTGGGTGGGGTCCCGTTCTCGGCTCTTATCCTTTGGTGGTCCCAGAGACCTCCGCTCCTAGACTGGAGAAATAATCGCTCTCTTCCTTGCTACAAAACATCTACCCTTGCATTTCCAACACTCACAATCCGTCTTGATAACCATTATTCACTACAGTATTGCACGTTACCCATCTGCATTTCATTTCATCAGCTCCACCTAGACAAATTGGATAGTACTCACTGGTGATTCTGCCTTCCTCCATGCCCCCTAGCTCTAGGTTCCCTCTTGAAGGCTTGTAAGCCAGTTGCTTCTTGCCTTTGTAGTCCCTCCCTCCCCATTTGGGTATCCAATGTCCAAGTTGCCCCTCTCTGTCTACTCTGTGTGTGGAGGGGGTGGGAATGTTTCTTGCTGTAAGGATTTATCGCCTCTTTTGTGTCACTGCATTCGTATGCATAGGTCAAGTTCATCAGCTTGGATCAGCTCAATCTTCTTCCCGTCCCCCCTTCCTTCTTCTCCTGGTTGAGCTCTGATCATCCAGTCATCCAGTCCCACATCTGCAAGTGTGGGTATTCTTGTGCACATGCCCTCTCTTCCCATCAGCCAGCAGCTCCATTCTCCACTTGAGTCCTCTATGGCCACGTCACTGACTCTGGGCCCAGGAAAATGTGACTGTTTTTAAAGGAAAATATTCCATTGGTGACCAGCTAGGGCCCACCAGGCCCCTAAGTAACACATGGTCACATATTTTTTGAAAGTCATGACTTGAGCTATTGACATGTGGTTGGCCACGGGGTCCAGGCTTGACCAGTGAGGGAAGAGCCCACGGGACAGGAGGTCGGAGAGCAAGATTCCTGAGTGCTCATTGCTCAAGGGCCTCCCCCAGTAGCCAGTGGTCATCACACATTGTGCCGATTCCATTTTTGATGGTCTTGTTATTTAGAACTGTCTGTGCATTGATTTGATGCACATGAACTCACGACTTTCAGTCAAGATACTTGGAGACAGAATTGCACATGACCTAGTTCTTGTCACCGAGAAATTCACAAAGAGGGGCTTCAACTCAGGGTCTTCAGTCCAGACCTGGGGCTAGATGAACATGACCTAGTTCCTGTCCCCAAGGAAGTCACAGTCAAAGTGGGACAGAAAACAAACTGTCTGTGAGCTGGCATTTCTTAAGCACTCGGTGCTCCAGATTTCTCTGATTTGGTCACACCCTGCTCTCTGGTGTGAGGTGAAGGATCTCCATGTGACAGGTGAAGGAAGGGAAACCAATGGAGATAATGTAATCTGCCCACTGGTGCACTCCTCCAAGGGTCAGAGCCGGGATTGGAGCGCAGGCAGCCTGGCCGCAGAGCTGGTACTCCTGAGCTTCACCTCTGATGTCGTCATGATGTGGCTACAGCCAGGAAGCTGAGGTTCCAATTTCTGGGGTGCCACTCACTCAGGGTGTTTCCTGAGCCTCCGTGTCATCATCTATGGGAGGGAGAGAGACAAAAGCCCTGCTTTTGAACCCGGGCTGCACATTATTGACCTCTGGGAAGCTTGAAATAGCTGAGGTCTGAGTCGCATCCCAGACCAGTCAGGTGACACACTGGTTCTGGGGATCAGGCTCCCAGGGGGTTCAGTGGCTAGCCCTGTGGCTGTGGCCTCCAGTGCACTCACTGTGGTACCCTAAACTAAGGTCCCCTTTCTTTTCTGCTCCTCTCCCCACAGTTGGTGGTGTTGTTAAGTGCCGTTGAATCAGTTCCAACTCATAGCTACCCTGTATAGAGTTTCCAAGGCTTAGATACACGTTTATGCAAAACACTAAGACTAAGTCTCCCCTAGTGACGCAGAGGTGGCTGGCAAAGTATCTTTAGAGAGCCCCGGTTCTCCTTGTCAACTTACTGTATTATGGAAATTTAAAAACATACACGAAAGGACTTGGAGCTGTATAATATACCCACATACACCCATCACTTACTTTGAATAATTATCAAAATTGTGTCAATCTTGCTTCATTTGTTCTACCTACCAATTATTATTTTTTTTTAGAATAAAGAGGAAGACTAGAATCACTTAAAATAAATCTCAAACTGATGATATGTTGATCATTTTTTTCATATGTTGCTAATAGATTGATCTGGGACCTTTCCTCCCTGTGGTGTCATTCACAATGGTGCCCTCAAATCAAGGGAGCCCTGGTGGTGCAGTAGTTAAGAGCTCAACTACTAATCTAAAGGTTGTCAGTTCAAACCCACCAGCTGCTCCTTGGAAGAAAGATGTGGCAATCTGCTTCCATAAAGATTTACAGCCATGGAACCCGCATGATGCAGTTGTGTTCTATCATAGAAGGTCACTAGGAGTTGGAATTGACTTGATGGCAACAACTTTGTTTTCTGTTCTTCACATCCTCTAATACCCTGGTAGCTTTTTAAAAACACCTTGCTACAGTTTGTTTGAATCTAAACAAGAACAACCAATTCTATTTGGGTTGTTATGTCTCTTAATTCTTTTAATCTATGTTTGCCTTCACCTTTTTTTTTTTTTTTGACCTTTTTGCCACTTATTTGTTGAAGAAACTGGGTTGATTTTCCTTAAATCCTTTCGTATCCTTTTCTCTGAGAAATTGGTGCTTAATGAGCCTGGCTGTGCTTATGGGAGCAGAGATGAATTTGCTTTTTCTTGGAAACTCTTTGAGGACATGTGCTCATACTAACAACCTTACAAACTACATTTTGTTGTTTCAGAAGTTTCTATTCTAGGAACTGATTCTAAAGGGGATAATCTGATATATAAACAGTCTTCCTGTACAAGGCTGTTAATCTCAGTATCGTCTATAATGAAAGAAAAATTGTGCATGATTTAACTAACCAACAATAGAGGGATTCGCAGAATTAAAGTATATTCAAACAATGAAATAGCATGCCATTATTAAAATTGTATTTGTTAAAAGTAGATAATGATGGGGGAATACTTACCATACAAAGTTAAGTGAAAAAAGCTGGTTATAAACTTGTGCGTCTTGTGTGGTCTTGACGATTTCAAAATATGCACATGCAAAAGGACTAGAAGTATTCTAAATGTTCATAGTTGTTGCTTCAGCATGGTAAAACTGGGGGTGGTGGTTAGGTTCTTGTTACAGAGTAGAGTTTTCCACTTTGGGGGCTTATGGGATTTTCAAGAAGGCTAGAAAGAAAAAACGCACACAGTATTTCACCATTTCATCCTGGGACATAACTTATGAAGAGCCATCTCCACTTAAGAGCCTTCTCAGGAAACTTTGATGTAATGGATGCCTTGAATCGTGAGCACAGTAAAAAGGTTCATGAGAATGCCCACCGTGGAATATCTGTAGAAACATTTTGAATCTCAGATTCACCTTGGGCCGTAGAGCATCGTGGGTGATACCAGGGTGAGCCTGGCTCTGCCGCAATCTTCGATTCATCTCTTCTCCGTTCCTGTCTCAGTTTCCTCATGCATGAAATGGTGATCATTATCTAGTACCTACTTCTTGGGCAATTGTAAGGATGAACTCAGTTAATACATGGAAAGCTTGGCCTAGACACAGTACATGCTCAATAAATTAGCTATATAGAATTACTCCATATGTTGCAGTAGAGACCTAGGGCTTTGCTGGAGTTTGCATAGCTCCCAGTGAATGAGAGTTTTAGTCTTTAGATTTTCTGCCTTTGTGCTTTGCACTGTCCACAACCATCCATTGTCAAGCATGAGCCAGAAAGTTGGTCTGCAAAACCCACAGTGGTTCAAATGAGGTCAGTAGACAGTCCCCGGATTATAAATAAGTTCTATTCCTAAATCTGCCTTTTAGTCAAATTTGTATAGAATTTATATAGAAGTCAAAACAGTTAAGTATGGTTCATATCTAAGGTGAGCTAGTCACACGTTTGTCTCAGTGTGTAGGATATAGTGCACAGTCCTATGCATAGGAAACATGAAACAAACACTTACAGATGCTCTACAATATCTTTAACATAATAATCCAGTAATAATAATGGCATTTTGATGCATGCCACAAAGTGGTGCCCATGGTATGAGCTTTATGGGGATTGGTGAAGTCCTGATATGGCCCCATGGGATAAAGCGTTGGACCACAAGGTCAGTTTGAACCATAAGGTCGGCAGTTCAAACTCACTAGCCACTCCTTGGAAAACCTATACAGAATTGCTGAGTCAGAACCAACTCGATGCACTTAACAACAACAGTTTGTAACTGTGGATTGCACATACATTGTTCCTGACCTGTATTCAAATTGTTTAGAGAAGGTATGAGGAAATCTGTGTTTGTGGATTGCTTCCAGATAACACTTCTGGGTAACGTTGACCATCGTCTGGTCTGTATCACCTCTGGTGCCATGGTCTTCCAGCTGGTCATTAAGCTAATAGTTACCTGGGAGCCTGGTGTCTGCCAAGTGCAGAGGACACAGCCAGTGCAAAGCCCCAGCTCACTCACCAGGCCAGACAGTGTTATCAGAGCTCAGCAGCTCCACGTCCCAAGCACAGTGGCCAAGTTCTAACCGCATCTTCTTGTTTTAGACTCAAGGAGGACGTGTGGAAATGAAAGGACAGGCTGCGTCCAAAGTAGAAAAGGTTTGTATTCTGGTTGTTCTGGAGACTCTCAGTCAAGCACTCTGGATACTTTATTTGGGGCTAATTTAGTCAATTCTGTTCAAGGTCGTCCTAGGAACAGCAAAGGGACTGAGCGCCAGCAGAGAAGATATTGAGAGTATGGGAGAAACATGTAAACTATTTAGAGACAGATTGAGTTATATAACCTGGCTGGGTCTCTTTTCCTGACCAACTGAAGATGTTGGCTGAATCCCCTGAGCTCTGCACACCTCAGTTTCTCTACATGGAACCGGAGGCTCCTTCTAACTTTCATCCTCTGTGTCTGGACTCCATTCTCGGCCGCTGGTTTTCCTCCTGGGAAAGTGTGGGGCAAACAAGAGTTTCAGAGGTCTGCAGACCTTATTAGCCATAGGACCTTGGGCAAGTTCTTTACCATTTATTTGCTTCAGTTTCTTCATCTGTAAGATAGGGATGGAGATGACTACCCCACAGGAAGTCGTTTATGAAAAGGCTCTGTCTGATGTTTCTCCCAGAAAGATAAAATTCTCTTAGTGAGACAAATGCCCACAGCCCCAGGAACGCCACATTCTGGGAGGTTCTGCCCAGGGCCTGCTTGGGCCACAGGCAGCACCTTAGCTGCCACTGTGGACCCTTGCCATCTTCCCTCAGTGAGCCCTAGCCCTCTGCTGTCCCTCACCAGCTCCCCCAGGGCTCCTCAGGGAGTGGTATGCCCTACTTCCCAATCCAGAGCAGACAGGCTTCCCTCCCTCCTCTCCATCTCTGATCACCTCAGTAGATCACCTCAGGGAGAAAGTGGACTTCAGGTTCCACCAGGGTTCCTGGAGAAGCAGGGGACTATGAGCAGGGATGTCATACCACACATTTTGGGGACTTCCCTGTCATGTTTCCAATTGCTCTTAATTGTGAAGGCAGCCTTCTTGACAGCCAGATGCTTTCTGGGTTCCCGCATGTCCTCATTTTCTCCTCTCCCTCTCCTTTCACACGGGTGCTTCTGCTATTCTAAAAGCATTGTCTGAGCACCAGCTATGGGGGTCCTGAGGTGACCCAGCACAGTGCCTGCCCTCCAGGAGGTTATGTTCCCCTGACGAGGCCAACCCATGAGCAATTAAGGACTCTTTATAGAGGCCTGGTATGGTGCCGCAGGATAAGTACTGGACTGCTAATTGCAAGGTTGGTGGTTCAAACCCACCAGATGCTCCTTGAAAACCCTATATAATGGGTGGGGAATCTTTTATCTGCCAAAATTTATAACATCATTCACAGGCTATATGAATGATCAACTTAAAACTGAGCCTGCTTTATTCCATCAAACATTTAATTAACTCACCCCTAATAATGATGGCAGGGAGTCCTGGTGTGGCGCTGTGGATTAATGCATCAGATTGCAAAGCTGTATGAACTGCAAGGTTGGCAGTTCAAGCTCACCAGCTGCTCCTTGGAAACCCTATACAAGGTTGCTATGGGTCGGAACCTACTCGAAGGCACTTAACAACAACAACAATGTGATGGCTAGGAAGTCTCATAACATAGTGGTTACGAGTCGGACTGCAAAACTACCAGTGGTTCCATAGGAGAAAGATGAAACTTCCTGCTCCCGTAAAGATTTACAGCTTGGAAACCATATATAATAAGGTCACTATAAGTTGGAACCACCACCACCAGTAAAGTCTTCAGGAGTGCTGGTGTGGTGTTGTGGGTTAACGTGCTAAACTGCAAGGTTGGTTTGGACCACAAGGTCGGTGGTTCAAGCACATCAGCCGTACCTTGGAAACCCTACCCAGAGTTGGTATGGGTCGGAACTGACTTGATGGCACTTAACAACAGCAACAATGTGATGGCTGGAGTCCTGGTGTGGCACTGTAAGATAAGCACGGGATTGCAATGTCGGTTTGAACCATAAGATTAGTGGTTCGAACTCAACTCATCAGCCATTCCTCACTAACTCTATACAGGGTTGCTATGAGTTGGAACCAACTAGAAGGCACTTAATAACAACAGTAACAACACATGTGATGATTGAAAATGTGGTTACCTTGGAAGGGCCAGGCCAAATGATTCCGAGGACCTTATGGCCTGTGGGCCAGATGTTCTCCACCCCCCCACTCTACAGTATCACTAGGAGTCAGAGCCGACTCGACAGCACTTAACAACAAAAGATTCCCTCAGTGGTGCACAGTTAACATGTTGTTGTTGTTATGTGCCGTGGAGTCGATTCTGACTCATAGCGACCCTGTACAGGGTTTCCGAGGCTGTAAATCTTTACGGAGCAGAAAGCCTCATCTGTCTCCCATGGAACAGCTGGTAGTTTCGAACTGCTGACCTTGTGGTTGTTCGCAGCCCAGTCCGTAACCACTACGCTACACACTCTGCTGCTAATTGAAAGGTTGGGTATTCGAATCCACCCAGAGGCACCTCAGGAAAAAGGCCTGAAGATTTACTTCCAGAAAATCAGCCACTGAAACCCCTAAGAAGCATAGTGCTACTCTGATGCTTTTGGCGACACCACAAGAAGTAGCAATATTTGGAGGTTTTGGGTTGAAGGCTACAGGCTGGTGGGAAGATGGGGGTGAGAATGCCTCCATGCAGGGGCTGGGAATCCTAGGTGACAAGAGGGGGTGTGTCCCTTCCTTCAACCCCCTCCATCCACCAGAGGGGGCTCCCTCACCTGAGTGGGACAGGCACTTCGTTGGCCATCTCTGTGAAGAACAAACAATCCCTTTATTTCTGTTTGTGCGATCCTGGTCTTAAAGATAAAGAGTTTCTAGGCAAAGAAAAGGGGTTCTCTTTTGGGTGATGCTAAAGAAGAGCTCCCTGGCTCTCCTGAAGCTACTGAGTCTACAGCACCCACAGGAAGAGTCCCACCCAGGCTTGCCACACCCATGATATGCAGGGGTCAGGGGTGCAGCAGACTGAAGACTTGTCATGGCAGCCACCAAAGCACCTTCCAGAGCTCAGGATTTTCACCCTGCCAGACCCTGCTGTGGCCTCGGGAGAGAAGGCCCATTCCTCCAGCACCTTGAGGGCCCACCGGCTCCTCAGACTCCATATCCGGTCCCAGACCCGCTCCTCCTCCTGGTTCCCCCGCCCTTGGATGGCACTAATCTACCTGGTCACCAGGAGAGGCAGGAAAGCTTCGCAGGTGGCCTCTCCCCTTCTAGTAAGTCACCAATACCTGTGAGTCGAGTGTCTCCTCTCCTAACCAGACTTCTGCCTCCAATGATGGCCTATCCCTCCTCTGGCCATCCACCCCTGACACACACACATCACTGTGATGCCCCGAGC